AGTCTGTTTGGGCTCCTATAAATACCATGTATATTTACTAGATCATTTGTTAAATAACAGAAGTTTATTTCTCACAGTTTTGGAGGCTGAAAAGTCCAAGGTTGACGTGCTGGCAGATTCAGTGTCTGGTGAGGACTTGTTTCCTGGCTCATAGATGCTAGATTTCTCACTGTCCTCATATGGGGGAAGGAACAAGGTCTCTCTCTCTCTCTCTCTCTCTTTCTCTGGGGCCTCTTTTATCTGGGCACTAGTCCCATTCATAAGATGAATCACTTCATTTCCCAGAGACCCTGTCTCCTAATACCATCACTTGGGGGATTAAGTTTCAACATAGAAATTTTGGAGGAACACACATTCGGTCTCTAGCACACATATTCTTCAGTTTTCTTTCTCTTTGTGATACTTTAACATGATATTACTTGCTAGCTCAGTCAACATCTCAAAGTTTCTTGTTCTTTCAGTGTTCCTGTTGTTGCCCTTTTAGTAGCTCTGTGGTCTGTGAGCTCCAGCGACTCAGGGCAGGAGACACCAGATGACTCTGGGACAGCTCGGGGATGTGGGGAGCACCATGGGCTGCAGGCAGAGACAGTGCTTCCCTTGGCCAAAAACAGTGCAAGGCAGACCTCAATGGGGCTAGTTTACTAAATCTCTCATACCTCTGAAGCTGGAGCCACATTCAAGGTCTCTATTAATAGACCCTCTCTCTATTTTTTTTTAAATTATGCTCTACATTTAACTTATATTATTTAATCCACATGTTAGACCATCTCTCTATTAAGGCTCACCCACCCTTGCTTTTAGGCCTTACCTGGGCGTGCCCTTGTATTGACTTCCAACCCTGCAGGCACTGTAGTGGAGGCCCTCTGCCAAGGCAAGAGTGGCTTTGGTTTCAAGATCTCTTCATGACGATGTATTCATTCATTTAACAAAAATGTAAGAAGCAACTACTCTATGCCTAGTACTCTGCAAGGCGCTGAGAACCCACACAAGAAACTGCCTGCCCTCAAGAGCTCATCATCTTAAAGAGGGTGCCAGGCAGGGAAAGAAAAGGGCTTAGTGTAGAGTGAGAAGGCAGGTGGAGAGAGGCCCCCTGTCCTCTGGGAGAGATCCCAACTCACTGGAGGAGTCAGGGAAGGAGGTGGAAGCAGAAATGTTTCATGAACGGCCCGTTCATGGGTTCCCGTTTCAGGATGGGCAGAGTAGTATGTTTCAGAATAACCTTGCAGGTAACAATGATAACATCTGGACAAATTATAAAGAGTGAGTATTGGAAGGCATTGGAGAACAAACTTAGCAGACTAAACCGGAAGGGAGAAATGTTTTTGGCCCTTGAAGGAAGGAACCTTCAGTAGTGTGTCTATGGTAATATGACTTTACACCTGAAGGCTTTCAGTCCACAGACCTGGTATATCTCTTCACATACTAAGCTCTTCCTTAATTTCGCTTTGCAATACTGAAATTTTCAGTGTACAGGTCCTACACGCCCCTTGTTATATTTATTCCCAAGTATCCTATTTCTTGATGCTGTTGTGAATGTATTTTTTTTTCATTTTCTTATTGTTTATTACCAGTGTGTAGAAATACAGAGATTTTTGTATGAGGTCATTTGAAAAGAAAGTGCTGGTACAACAGGATAAACATATGAGAAAAAATGAACCTTGACCCCTGTCTCAACATATATAATAAACCCAAAGTAAAACCTCCTAGAATGGTTCAATCCAATAGAACTTTCAGTGATGACAGGAATGTTCTTTGTATTGCCTAATTAGGTAGCCACTGGCCTCATGTGGCTGTTAAGCACTTAAAATGTGAGTAATATGACTAAGAAATCGAATTTTAAATTTTACTTAAATTTGAAGAGCCACCTGTGGCTGTTGTCTACTGTATTGGACAGGATGGTTCTAGAAGAAAAATTAGGAGAATATCTTTGTGATTTTAGAGTTGGCAATTAGTTCTTAAGATGTAAAAGCTCTAACATAAATGATAAAAGTTAGTAATTTGAAATTAACTGAAATGTAAAGCTGCTTATCAAAAGATATCTCTAAGAAAATGAAAATGCAGATCATAGATCAAGAGAAAATACTATCGTATCCAGACACAAACACTATTTATTGCATGATTCCATTTTGTATGAATTTTAAGAACAGGCTAATCTGCAGTGATAAAAATCAAAACAGATCGAGACTTCCCTGGCGGTCCAGTGGTTAAGACTCTGTGCTCCCAATGTAGAGGGCATGAATTCAGTCCCTGGTTGGGGAGCTAAGATTCCTGCATGTCCTGCAGCGCCCCTCCCCCCCAACCTCACCCAAAACAAAAAACAAAACGGATCACTTCTAGGAGGTATTGCCTGCCTCCAGGAGGTGTAAATTGACTGGAAGTTTAAGAACAGGCAAAGCTAATCAATGGAAATAGAAATCAGATCTGTGTTACCTGAAGGGGCTGGAAATTGAATGGAAGGAGCCTTTTCAGAAGAAAGGAAATAGTCTATATCTTGATTAGAGGGTTACTTGGGTATATGTGTCAATAAAAATACATTGAATTTTATGTTTAAGATCTATGGATTTCAGTGCATAGAGTTTACTCAGTGGTGGGATGAATAGAAACTGAATTGAAACAAGCCATGTCCATGACCACAGTTTTTCACATACAGGTTTTTTAGTTTATCAGTCAAGGAAGGAAAGAGGAATAAAAGGATGGTCTGTTTAGGTGTCTCAGACGGTAAAGAATCTGCCAGCAATAAAGAGACCAGGGTTCAATCCTCAGTCAGGAAGATCTTCTGGAGAAGGGAATGGCAACCCACTCCAGTATTCTTGCCTGGAGAATCCCATGGACAGAGGAGCCTGGCAGGCTATAGTCCATGGGGTTGCAAAGAGTCAGACACGACTGAGTGACTAACACTTTCGCTTTTCAGACTCTAAGAGAACAAAGATGGATTTTTCCCTTATTTTCAGGAAGGGAGAATCAGATTGTACTTTTATCACAAGGAGAGGTCATGGGGAGAAAGGTGAGTGGGGGTGAGGCAGGGAAGGCATCTTACTGTCCACTGCCCGGGCTCTGCCTTGGGGAAGGGGCAAGATGCTCTGCTCTTGTGCCTTTCTCAGCAAGGGCTGGTGCGGAGGGGGGTGTTCAGTGGCCCCAACTCGTAATCCTGAGAACGTGTAGCCTGGGTAATGGAAGAGCTGCTGTGTGCAGGGGGCTGGCTTTCATACTCAGCTGATGCTCCAGATAGGCAGGAAGCGAGTACTCAGAGCTTCTCAGCCTGGAGCTGGGAGACTGCGTGATCCCAGCCATCCTAACCGTGCTTTTTTCTAACATGTTAATCCCCTCTGTTTCCTCGATGACTTTTTAGTTTCTTAGGTCACAGGTTGTCGGCGCCTTTCATCTCTGTTCTCAAACATCTTTTAAACTTGGGTGAAGTGACAACCAGGGGAAGAAAATCACATTTGCATTAAAACACAATTCTGTCAGTCTCTCTCAAATGATTTTTCTCTGAATTCCGAATACATAACCTATTAATGATGTACTCTTGTGTCAACCATTGATCTTTATATCACCTTTGCTGAGTGGGCAATTAACCAATGAGATTGGTTAATCAGGCTTATCACTAAAAGGAGGAACTCAGATTTCTGAGAAGAATTCCTCATCTGATGTCAGCTGGATTGTCATGCGGGAGATAAATCTGATATAAAAGTGTCTCCGCTGCCTGGGTTGCAAAGCTTCTAGAATTACTGAACTCTGAAATCCAGGTGATTCCTGATAATTTGGAGGTGAGTTTCTAAGAGTTGTAAATGGATCCCATATTGCCTACCCCATGACAGCTTGGTCATAAACACTGTATCTGAGTCATCAATGGGATGGGGAGGAAGAAGTTTAAAAACTGAAGTCACTGAGATTACACATGCCTTAAATGTAGACTCCAGAGCCTACTTGTCATCAAGTTCTGTCCTGGATTTGAAGGCATGTTCAGACATGATTCATGACCTATGGGTCACTCTACCTGTGTGGGAGTCACTTTTATATCAATCTGAAAAGGATGGTGATTAAAGTAGGTGGGCTAGGGACTTCCCTGGTGGTCTAGTGGCTAAGACTCCTTGCTCCCAACACAGAGAGCCTGGGTTCAATACTTGTTTAGGGAACTAGATCCCACATGCCACAACTAAAGAACCCACAAACCACAGCTATGACCTGGTGCAGATGAATTTTAGGTGGGCCATCAGGTTATTCAATTTGTATCTGCTCTTTCTGTCATGTACTTACGGTGCTCATTGAGAGTTATTTTACTCATCCATTCACCAATTTCTACCATTAAATTGCTAATTTGTTCCACACTAAATGAAACAGGGAATTAAGAAGCTGAGCTTTTTCCCCACTCCTGTCACGGATTGTGTCAATCAAGCAGGCAGTCTGACTGCTCCTTACCTTACCTTCTGCCTCTGTGAAATGGGTATAACTTTTGGCCTAAGTGACTGCATAGGTCAGTTTTGAGAATTGGGAGAGATCAATGGATATGGCAGTGCTTTGACAAACATGAAACTCACCCCTGTGGGATCAGATTGTTGTTCAGGCTGGTCTGATGTCGGCCAGCGGCTCTAAACTGGACCATGAGCAGTGATCCTTGGGGATTCTAAGAAAATACAGATTACCTGTACCTTCTGCCAGAGATCCTGAGGATCTGCAAGCAGGAATACTGCATTTTGAGAAGCCCTACAAATAATTCTACTGCAGATAGAATACCAAGGGCCCCACAGAAATACTGGTGTGTGATGCAGAATATAGAAGATCCCTCAGAGAAAAGCATCTTTTCAGGACGGTCTGAGGGCCCACACCTTGAGGCTTTTGCCTTGCATTGATTTGTACATCTTCAGAAGTAGTGTCTTTCAGTTTGATGTTTGTCTGCATTTTCTGTACAGGGACATGTACTTCATAGATGCTAGAAACCATCATCCCGCGGGTAACTGAGCTGGAGGGTAAGGAGTCTTTTATCTTGCCTTTCTTCACAGCAATGCAGAGTCTTCGGAGAAGAGATTCAGGATGAACAGCTTTGTGTCAGACTTTGGAAAGCCCCTGGAGCCAGATAAGGTGTTCTCTTCACAGGGCAATGAGGAATCCAGGTCCTTCTTTCACTGCTACATCAGTGAAGCGGACCCCCTGGAGAAGGCCAAAGCTTGTCTCCAGACCACGGCCCTCGACAGTGAAGTTCATCTCCAGGAAGCCATCAGATGCAGTGGGCAGCCAGAGGAGGAGCTGAACAGGCTCATGAAATTCGACATCCCCAACTTCGTCAACACCGACCAGAACTCCTTTGGGGAAGATGATCTCCTGATTTCCGAAACACCTATTGTTCTAGAAAATAAGCCAGTGGTCCAGACCTCACACAAAGAGTTGGACTGAGAAGCACATTTTATCAGGTGTCTTCCTGAAAATGCTGGGTTTGTCGTTGAATAGCCAGAAATCTCTGTTCATCGAGATTGTGTGTGTGTTTGTATATAAGAGACAGACAGAGAGAGAGGCAGAAAGACAGAGAAGAGAACCCCCTGAGAAGAAAGATGGTGAAGCTGAGTTTTCATGCCTTTAAACGTATTTGGAACCTTTGGGGGAACCAAATATTTACACTATCTCATCTTCCTTGTTGAGAACTTGGTCACGTATTCGGCGTCAGCGTTCACAAACGGGGTTTGATGTGCTGCGTTTCCTGTCTGGCCCTGCCACTACCGTGCTCTACCTTTAGCAAGTTACTTTGATTCTCTGGGATGCCACCTTTTTATCTGTAAGGTGAGGAGTCTGGAGTAGGTGATCCAATAATTTGTGGACTTTTGACTTTGTATTCACATGAGGCTGGAAATACCCAAAATTATATAAACTAGAGGCTGCCCCCTGGTTCTTGTTATAACATTCCCCCAGGTCTGTACCTCTCTCTCAACCCTTAATTGAACCCAACTTATGTCAGGGGCTCGAGCATCTCCCAGGATGTCAAGAGACCTTGCCTCTCACGGTCACTGTGGCCAAATTTATAGCACTTTGCTAAAACAGCTCAAATCTGAAGACAGCCCCCACACCCCATGCCCCAAGGTGAGCACCTTATATGACAGTCCTATCCCCCAAATGTATGGCAGGCTGTGAGCTGAGTCAAAGGAAGTGCGTTCTGTGTCCGTGTCAGTGTAGCTGTGATTGGTCACCAGAAACCATCATCCCGCGGGTAACTGAGCTGGAGGGTAAGGAGTCTTTTATCTTGCCTTTCTTCACAGCAATGCAGAGTCTTCGGAGAAGAGATTCAGGATGAACAGCTTTGTGTCAGACTTTGGAAAGCCCCTGGAGCCAGATAAGGTGTTCTCTTCACAGGGCAATGAGGAATCCAGGTCCTTCTTTCACTGCTACATCAGTGAAGCGGACCCCTTGGAGAGGGCCAAAGCTTGTCTCCAGACCACGGCCCTCGGCAGTGAAGTTCATCTCCAGGAAGCCATCAGATGCAGTGGGCGGCCAGAGGAGGAGCTGAACAGGCTCATGAAATTCGACATCCCCAACTTCGTCAACACCGACCAGAACTCCTTTGGGGAAGATGATCTCCTGATTTCCGAAACACCTATTGTTCTAGAAAATAAGCCAGTGGTCCAGACCTCACACAAAGAGTTGGACTGAGAAGCACATTTTATCAGGTGTCTTCCTGAAAATGCTGGGTTTGTCGTTGAATAGCCAGAAATCTCTGTTCATCGAGATTGTGTGTGTGTTTGTATATAAGAGACAGACAGAGAGAGAGGCAGAAAGACAGAGAAGAGAACCCCCTGAGAAGAAAGATGGTGAAGCTGAGTTTTCATGCCTTTAAACGTATTTGGAACCTTTGGGGGAACCAAATATTTACACTATCTCATCTTCCTTGTTGAGAACTTGGTCACGTATTCGGCGTCAGCGTTCACAAACGGGGTTTGATGTGCTGCGTTTCCTGTCTGGCCCTGCCACTACCGTGCTCTACCTTTAGCAAGTTACTTTGATTCTCTGGGATGCCACCTTTTTATCTGTAAGGTGAGGAGTCTGGAGTAGGTGATCCAATAATTTGTGGACTTTTGACTTTGTATTCACATGAGGCTGGAAATACCCAAAATTATATAAACTAGAGGCTGCCCCCTGGTTCTTGTTATAACATTCCCCCAGGTCTGTACCTCTCTCTCAACCCTTAATTGAACCCAACTTATGTCAGGGGCTCGAGCATCTCCCAGGATGTCAAGAGACCTTGCCTCTCACGGTCACTGTGGCCAAATTTATAGCACTTTGCTAAAACAGCTCAAATCTGAAGACAGCCCCCACACCCCATGCCCCAAGGTGAGCACCTTATATGACAGTCCTATCCCCCAAATGTATGGCAGGCTGTGAGCTGAGTCAAAGGAAGTGCGTTCTGTGTCCGTGTCAGTGTAGCTGTGATTGGTCACCCTGCTGCGTCACTGGCTGGTGAACAAGCAGAGTGCTCTTTGCCAGGCTGTCTGATGTGTGGGTGATGGCTGTGTGGCTAGTGTGTAGCCTTGGAGGTGGGATGGTGAATGGGTTATAAACACCCCATCAACAGACATTCCAGGCAACGCAAGGGTTAATTTCATGAAGGAATGAAATCTGCACAGTTTTGGAAATGACTTTGTTTTGCACAGTCACATTGCATGCATGGCCAGCTACTAATCTCTTGGGTGGCATTTTCAATATGGACTTTCATTTACCACCTGTCTTGCTTAAACTGAAAAATAAAGAGATTTATTGCACCATAATTTTCTCTGGTTCTTTGTTTGCACACAAAGAAAAAAATTTTCATTTTATTTAAAAACAGTTCCACGTTTATAATGCCTCCTAATTCCTGTCATCTCTAGGATCCTAGTGGTATGAGTCATGTAACAAATTTCTTTTAGGATTTATTCCACCAAAAGAACTCCCTTTCCCATAATGTCTTTTGAGGAAAATAGTATTCTTTAAGACTCAAAGCATGGGACACTTCTTATAGTTAATATACATTCTTGTAAAAAGAAACTTCCTGTTTTCATTAAAGAGTGCTGATTTTAATGGCTTTTATGAATGTGAATATTATTATTCATAATTTAAGTAACTGAATATAAACCATGGTTATCTATTACTAAGATGCAAAACTATTTAAGTGGCTTTTTAGTTAAAAGTAGATTTATTAGAAGACTGACAAGGGGGGAGGGCATTATCCTACTACATTCTCCTCTGTGACCCCAAAGATTCATGCAAAATATATCTGTCTCACCCCGAACATCCTCTAAAATCTCAATAATTACATCATCAAATCAAAGTCCAATATTTAGTCGATATAGTGTCAGCTCAAGGGTCCCAAATATCATCATCTTATTCATCTAAATCAGGTATGGCTGAGACCCTGAGTAGGATTCCAAGACATGAAGACAGCCTAAATGTCCATCAACAGAGGAATGGATAAAGCAGATGTGGTATACTCACACACACACATATGCACACAATGGAATATTACTCAGCCATAAAAAATAATGAAGTAATGCCATTTGTAGCAACATGGATGGACCTGGAGATTGTCATACTGAGTGAAGTAAGTCAGAAAAGGACAGATATCATGTGACATTGCTTATATGTTGATTCTTAAAAGATGATTCAAATGAACTTATCTCAAAACAGAAATATATTCACAGACTTAGGAAACAAACTTATGATTACCAAATGGGAAAGATGGGGAGAGAGATGAATTAAGAGTTTGGGATTAACATACACACATTACTATATATAAAATAGATAATCAACAAGGACCTACTGTGTAGCAAAGGGAACTTTACTCGATATTCTGTAATGACCATTGAATTTTATATGTAAGATCTTATATATATTTTATTTATATGTTATGTTTAGTTCTTTAAAAAATTGATCTTTTTTCTTGATATCCTGATTTCTATTATGTTTTCTATGATTTACATTTAATGATTCAGTCAAACTTATTTTATGTTCTCTTTTAGATTGTTTCATAATTTCAGGCCCTGGAATAGTGATCATCCTGGCTTTGAGGATTAGCTACTTCTTCCTCATGCCAATTATTTACTTCTGTTTTTTGTCTTGTGTGTATTATATGCATGGATGCATGTGTTGCATAGTGTGAGCTCTTCAGCATGTATTTTTTTTTTCCCTATGGTTATCTCACACATTCTAGTTTATAAAAGTTTCCCTAGAGAACAATTTGTATTGCTTATCCTGAGGCCCCAAGTGATTTGATCTATCTGGAATTGTTAAGTTTTTGCTTGAGAATTCCTGAATCATAAAGAGAGTATATCCATTTGGATTCCACATCCACATGAAGCATGGGCTTGGAGTTTAGGTTTTTTATGGGAGACTTTGATTTTTTTTCCTGGAGACCTTGGCAGCACCGGTTGCTCCATCTTTTCCCTGTGTCTGCATGTAGAGTTCATTGAGTCTCCCTTTCAATGAAGAGGCAGCTTTTTCAATAACTTTTATGGAGGGAGTTTCCCAGGTGCTTCCCGAGTGGCTCAATGTAAAGAATCTACTGCCAATGCAGGAGACGCAGGAGACGCAGGAGACTTAAGTTCGATCCTTGGACCAGGAAGATCCCCTGGAGGAGGAAATGGCAACCCACTCCAGTATTCTTGCTCGGGAAATCCCATAGGAGGAGAAGCCTAGTCGGCTACAGTTCATAGGGTCTCAAAGGGTCAGACACAACTGAGTGATTGGGCATGCAAATCTGGGGGGTTCTATAAAGGAAGTCTGCACATCTGGTATGAACTCCTCTTTTTATTTCTAAATGGACAGTATAGCCCTATTCACTAGGCAGATTAAAGCCTCTTTCCTCCAGGGTACTGTGGCATCAACTTACAAGTTTACTTTTCTGGTTAAGTGTCCTTTTTATTAATATATGTCACCTGCGAACTTCTCTCTCCTTCATATTTAGCTCTATATTATTTTTGTTGTATTTTATCCAGCATAACTATTAATAAAAATTTTACTTAAAAGGGATTCAAATTAGTTTAGTTCACCATGTGTGCAGAACTGAAAGCCTCAGCTCTAGAGTATGAGCTTGGTTTTTCTTAAAAGTACGTGCCAGCATGTTTCTCTGGTGAACATCTTTATGTTGTCATCTATTTACCCACAAGTTCCTCTATTTTCTTAATTAATGGGAATTAGTTTTTCTTGTTATCTCTTTACATCATCTGTGTTTGTATTAATTGTTTAATGTTTCTTATTCTCATATTATCAATCATATAGTCTTGACACTTTTCACATCTAGAAATTTTTATTACATGGCAGACATCATGAGTGAAAAATCCCTTGATGTGTCATATGTTATCTTCTGTGAGAGTAATTTCTCTTCTTTCTTCCTATGAGCCAGACAGAGTGAGGGGCTATCACCTTACTCCAGTTGAGGTGAGTCAGGACTGAACTGTTTTTTCTTAAAACAGCTTTGGGGTATATTTGGCAAAATAATTTTCACATATTTAAAACATACAATTTAATTCATTTGACATAAGTATATCCCCAAGAAACCATTACCACATTCAAGACAATGAACACACCCATCAACCCCCAAAAGTTTTCTGCCTTTTTTAATCCCTCCCTTCCCATCTCTTGCCCTGGAAACCACTGATCTGCTTTCTATCACTGTATGTTGGTTTGCATTTTCAAGATACTTGTATGAATGGATTCAAGCAGTATCTACTCTATTTTGTCTGACTGCTTTCATTCAGCATAATTATTTTGAGATTCATCCCTGATTAGTAGTTTATTATTTTTGCTGAGTAGTGTTTATTGCTGAGTAGTTTATTTTGAGTAGTGTTTGGATAGACCATAATTTGTTTATTCATTCTCTTATTGATGGATATTAGGGTTATTTACAATTTTGGCTACTATAAAGAAAACTGCAGTGACTATTTGGTTATAAGTCTTTCTATGGACATATGCTTTTATTTTCTAAAGCACCTAGAAGAGGAATATCTGGGTCATATCTTAGATGTTTATCTTTTTAAAGAAACTGCTTATCAGTTTTCTAAAATAATTGTTTAAATATTACTGTGAATTCCTCATAGTGTATATGAATTCTTAATGATTTACTTCATTGCCAACATTTTGCAAGGTCAGTCTTTTTAATTTTATTAATTCTAGTATGTGTGTGTAGTAGTATCTCACTGTGGTTTTTAGTTGCATTTCACTAATGACTAATAAGCCCCCCAGCTGGCTCAGATGGTAAAGAATCTAACCTGCAATGCTGGAGATTCTGGCTCAATCCCTGGGTTGGGAAGATCCCCAGGAGGAGGAAATGGCAGTCCACTCCAGTTTCTTGCCTGAAAAATCCCATTCAGCATCTTTTCATGTGCTTATTTATCCACCTGGATATCTTGGTGAGGCATGTTTTCAAGTCTCCTCATTGTCATACTGGGGTGTTTGCTCTATTATTGAGTTTTGAGAGCTCTTTATTCATGATATAAATTCTTTTTCAGAGTGACTTCATTTCTCCTTTAAATGGATCATACTTCTGGTGTTGTAGCAAAGAAATATTTGCCAAATCCAAGTCGTAAGAGTTTAATCCTACATTTTTTTTTTCTAGAAGTTTTATAGTTTTAGATTTTATATTTAGATCTGTAATCCATTTTGAGTTAATTTTTATGTACACAGAAAAGTATGGATTGAAATTCTTTTTTTTTTTTGGCATGTGGATACCTAATTGTTGCAGCATTATTTGTTGAAAAAAATCCTTTGTCCACAATTGCCTTTGCACTGATACTGAAAATCAGTTGTCCATGTATGTATTGGTTTAGTTCTGGACCATACTTCTTGATTACTGTAGGTTTAAAAAGTCTTAAAATCAGATTGTTTAAGTCCTCCAGTTTTGTTTTTCTTATTCAGAGTTGTTCTGGGTACTTGAGATCCTTTGCATCTTTATTTGAATTTAGGATAAGTTTTTAAATTCCCTTCCTTACATATGACTCTACCAAAATTTCACCCATTTCTCTGGCCATCTCCAAAGCCACTTTTTCCAAAAAAGGCTTTCCAGATCCCAGGTGAAAGGAGTTTCTTTCTTCTGTGCTCCATGCACACTTCATCATACTTTTATTGCATTTATTCATATTTGGCTACATGTATTTGTCTGATCTCCCCTGCCATGTAGTAAACCTCTCAAGATCCAGGAATCTTGACTTTGTTCTGTCTACTGAAAAACTAGTTTTATACTTTGCAGGAGTGAGTCTGACACTGAGATGTCTGTGGAAGACATCTAGCTGATTTCCTGCCTGTTGTAAAGTAATCTGACAGATTTAGAATTGTTTTTTCTACTGTTATCTCCAAGATGGCTCATTCTTTATTATTTCTATTGATACTAATGCACTTTTAAAGAAAAATAGATAATTATTTTCTAAGTATCAAAATATACTATATTTGACTTGTGGTGCTAGTTACATGCAGCTTAACAATTGTCTTAATAATCTACTTATTGTTCACATTCTCCCTGTTCATTGAACTTTTGAGAAAATGTTCATCCTTAAAGACATCAATGACATCTTTGGCTGCCAAGGGCAGCAGCGCCTCACCTCAGACCTACTGTGTTTCTAGTGGTTCCCTCCAGTCCTACTATAGCCCTCCACTAGGGGAACTGCAGTTAAAAGCCTGTTATTTCTCAGGAGGAGTTTCTGTAGGAAGTATAATCATGTCCTTTTTATGGGGACGTTCAGTCTACAGATTTGGCAGCAGGGGAATATGTTTACCTTTCTTTGTAGAGCCTAAACTCTTC